TCTCACCTCCGGCTACCTGTACAGACTCACAAGACATTTTACCACCATGCAAACTTCTTACCGCAACAAATCTTACCAGCCACCACGCAAACTACAATTTTACGGGTTCCACCTCTCTTACACGATGTTACTCCCACACTGAGGAAGCCAACCGCGAACACTTGTCAAGCACGCACAAGCACGCACTTCACCGGAAAAACCTGCATCCGCCAGCGGAACCCGAACACCGCCGCATCGCCAGACACGAACGCACCGGACGTCTTATCTTACAGGTCACGACGACTTCAGATGTGTCAATTTTTCTTCCCCACGGAAACTTGCTTGCTTTCTTGTTTGCTTGCTTGCTGGAGCCCGAAGTCATCGAACGTGTAGTGTTATTGGTATTGAATCTAGTAGATTCTAAAATTTCAGCGACAATTCACAGTCTCATGTCCTGGTTTACTAGACTAGTGCCATGTAACTCTAGCAGAAGTCAGCCGCTTAAAATAATTCTTGTCGGAACTACCCACTCGTCATGACAGATCCATTATTGCGATCGAAGTTTCACTTGAGATTTGCACTTGCCTTAATTTCTTGCAATAGCTTGTTACGTGTTGTATTTCCGCTAATAAATGCCATGTGATGAAGTCGACAGTCAAACTGGGCAACATGAGCCAGAACGTAAGATGTGACGATTTCTTCGTGGTCAGATCTTCCATCGAGGTAACAGAGACGTTATTACACGACTTACGTATGCTGCATTCACACTCTTGTGGCGTACCACTACTAGTATTCTGATCTGCATCATGTTTTTTTGCTGTACTTCGAACATGTTCAAACACGTCACGCCAGTGAGAGTAGAGTCCTGATCTCACTTCTGATGTCAGCACACGTCGGGGATGGCTGAGCGGTAGGTTCCGTCATCACTCGTATTTGATTGAACACAGTTTATAAAAAGTCAATAAAACCTTTTGAATAATAATTATTGAAACTCAACACACACAACTTTCACAATGACAGGATAAACCGACAGTTTCGTTGCACATACCGACAGACCGACTGACTGACTGACTGACTGACAGAGACTCACTGACTGAGACGGACGGAATTACTGTCTGACACGGAATGCCACGACTCTGTCCACGTACCGCCATTTTATACTGTGGCGTTCCGGAGTCTACCCTTCATTTTGTGATATTTATCAAAACAACATTTCATCATTTAAAATAATAATCAAAACCACCGTCTTAATATTACTAAAAGTCGTTATCCACGACATATATATATAGTTAGTACCCAATATATACATATTGGGTTCTAATTTATACATATTCTGTACTAATTTCCCATCATTCGCCCGTAATGATGATACCTTCAGAGATTTTTATACCTAACTAAACTCCAGATTCTACCTTAGGCAATTTGAAAACCTGCACGACACAACAACACAGATTTTTTTAGCAAAAAAAACTATTAAGCAAGATGGATTCACAGCAACCGACCAGATTAAATTTGCATATAAAATTTTAATACATCAATGCATATTTTCGTTATTACAATATAAGACAATTAAATACAGTTTCAAAAGTGATAAAACGTGGGCCCTTAACCCAAGCGTGTGGGATTGCGTCACGCACCGAATAACATCTACAGATATGATATCGCCATTTAAGTGCCTCCAAAATTGTGTCATCAAAAATACCGCTCAGATAACCCAGTTTCCCGTGAAAATTTTGCATGAGCACGTAATTTTTTTTATACTACAATTTACGTTTTTGCGCGAGAATAATTTCAAGTGCCTGCGAGAAAATATGTTGTACGAACGTATACATATACTAAGGTCGTCATGTTTCTATGTCTGCAATGTCTCGTATGTTGTTTTTAATGCGTTTCTATTTAGGATGAGCTCACTAGGTTCAACTGAGAGAGTTTGCTAACGTTGACCCCAGCAAGAGCAGTGCTTCGCAGAATCTACCACCGGATCGGAATCCCGACCCAATGTCGACTGAGCATTAGTAACTTGTAACGAAGGATTGATATCTGCCTACTGCCTTTGAAAGCGAAATAATCCCATTGATGGCTACAAGAAAACCTGGCGCTTTAGACTTTGACGACTTCACTACGATTTGCTCTCTATTTGATAGTTTTTCAGTTTTAAAGACAAACAAATCATAGAGTTGGAGAAATACCAGGAAGTGACTTTGAATTAGTAGTGTAGTTATTATTATTATGTCATCTATAGTTGTATAATTAATTGAAAAGACATTCATTAAATTTAAGACAAATCGTAATCTGTCGTAAGATATACCGTATCGTATTATAAAATAGACCGCAATTCGAACTTTCTTCTAAAATAAATATTATTTGCTGTATTACAATTATTTCATACATCTTATATTTAATTATTATCATTAGTTAGTGTCTTTTTCCTATTCGAATCAAGAAAACTTATTTAAAATATAAAAAACCGTTTTTTAAAGTTTTTAAAAATAATTACTAATGTCTTCGTATACATTTTCAAAGAAACCATTGATCTGTCACCGCGCATACTGAATAACGAAGTTATTTTTTGCTGTCGAAAGAAACGACGATAAAGCAAAACGAAGCACGTTATTAGATTAATGCGTTTTCCCATACTGTAATTTACAGCCGTTACGAATAAATATACGGAAATTTTCATGGAATAATTCGTAAATAACTCATGACTTTTTGATAGAAACGAAAACATAATATTCTTTACTCTTTATTTATGAACGATAATCTAAAGATAATAATTGGAAAAAATACTTTTAAAAATACCTAATAACTATTAGCCACCTTATTACTTAGGTACTACATATTTACTGTAAGTAATTTTTAGGTAATATAATTATATCATTTCATTCTCTGTGTTAATTATAAAATGTACACATTTCGAGACACACTAATGAGAAAATTAAAGTATTCATACTTTTTTTTACCTAGATTAATTACATTTCGTCTCTTGCCGTGGGTGTCGTAAAGGCGACTAAGGATTCATTGTGGTACCATTAGTGTGGAGAGCATTCTCTGAGCATTACACTAGTGCTGTTTTCACCAACCGGTATTTACTGGTGCTAGGCAGTATTGGAAGCCTTTGCTCGCCCACCTGTCCTGGTGAAACTGGAAAGGCCTCCGGGCCACAAGTAATCCTTCAATCATAAAAAAAAAAAGTATTGGAAGCCACCAGGTAGCACCATCGCCATCCTGATTATTTCTACCGCAAGTAGCCATGTGCTATACAACACAATCGAGACTTCGACCTCATGTTTCAAGGCTGCCAAGCATTAACATTATGATGTCTATGGGCTTCAATAATCACTCAGTATATAACAGGTGCAAAATGCTCGGAATTAAATAAA